CGAGACTTCAATTTTGTTAAGGCTACATGACTATATGCTTCGAAGAGGGGACTGGCCCAGTGTTGGGTCTTCATCTAAGCCGATCAGTGATTCTAGTCAATGGGATAGGAGGAAGAGTCTGCTGGAGAGCTTTTTGGAGGGATTGCTCTCTGAAAGAGACATATAGGCAGAGATGGTCTTTTCTTCTTTGGTCTTTGTTCTTCAAATGGACATTATTGTTTCTGGATGAGTTGGATTTCTGGCTCTGGGACCAATGGAGTACTGACTAAACAAAGAGTATAGTAAAAGCAAAGAAGTTCCCCCCAAAACTGGGCTAAAAATCATGATGGCAATGGGTTTTCGGTTGCAGCCTCTTTGGGAATTTCCCAGGTGTCATCTGAAAGCAGCCCCCATGCACAGAGGGCAGGGAGAGACCGAAGGAAAAAGCAGACCATTCCAGATGGGTAGGTGGCAGGTTTAATAAGCAAAGAAACTTAGTTACGGGGCTTGTCTTAGGTGTCCACATGATGAGTATTTTTCCACATCCATCTGCCAAATGTTAAAAATTTACATGGAGAGCTTAACTGGGATCAGTCACGTACACAGGAGGCCTTCACAGAGTTCAGTCATGTACCCAGTCCAGTGGTCTCATCACCACCATACTGTCCCAAGGCTGTGTCCTTGGGTAGCTTCTAGCTCATGGAAGGCAAGAAGAGTGCACGGGGCAGGGAGTCGGGTGCCTCCAATTGCCGGGTCCAGCTCCCAGGTCAAACTGGTGGTCATGTCTTCTTGATGACCTTCAAGCCAATTGCTAGAACAGAGGCATTTATTCAGTGATGGAGTTCCAGCAAAGTAGACTTAGAGGGAATCAGCTTCAAAGCTAAGGCTCCACATATTTCTGCAAATTGAGAACAGGACTGTTTCCAGGGATGCTAAATGGTATTTCTCAATACAGATTATAAAGCTGGCCTAGAGGGCATATGACATAGTGGAAAAGATGCAGGCTTTGGAGTCTCACTGCTGAGGTTACAGTCCCAGTTCTGCCAGTTTTTAGCAGCAAGGCCCCTGGCAAGTTTCTGAATTTTTCTAAATCTTAGGTTTCTCATTTGTAAAAAGAAGATGGTAATGCTTACCTGTTAGGGCTAGCAGAGTTTATAATATAGACTCAGTAGACAGTCTTGTTATACACATTTTTATATGTAAGTAATGAGGTTATTACACTAGGCTGTGTTCTTATAAAAGTTTAATTCTGCTAAAGACATGGCAACCAATAAATCTTGACTTGTCTTTTTGATAGTTCAATATTTCAGAAAATAGAAGAAATAATTTCCAAAACTTACATTTGGACTTGGTAGAATTTTTTTTAAAAGGCGAAGGGAATCTTTGGAGAAGAGACTCACATGAGAGGTAGTATGTGTAGTAGTAGACTTGGCTGTGACTCATTACCTATGAGCCATGTAATTTTGGATTACTTAATCCCTCTGAGCTTCTATTTCCTCATCTGTAAAGTGCAAATAATATCTATCGCATAGGGTATTTGTCAGAATTAGAAATAATCCATAAATATTTTCTGACATGTATTAGGCACTCAGTAAATAGCATCGATTTTTATTACTACTGTAGAGATTAGAGAGGTAGATTTCACAAAGTTGAATGAAATAATAGATGTGATCCCAAGCCTGAGACTCTAAAAGAAGTAGGTAGTTTTTAAAAATGTATCAGAAAATTAAATTGGATTTATTAGGCTCATGGCACTGCCCTTCTCTTGTGTGGCTAAATATGCATTTGGCACAATTTACCTCTTTCTTCTCAACCTTTCTTTGCTCAACTCTGTAATTGCAAGTGATTCCAACAGGAAAGGAAAGGAGAGACTTGGGAAGAAAATATTGGTACTGTAAATAACTTCTTGATCAGCTAAAAATGTAAAAGGTTGAGTAATAGGTATGCTAGGCATCTCTTCTGGTTGTGAGAGTCCAGCTCAGGTGTTGTATTATTAAGCATTTTATACAGAATATATTTTTCATTCTTTCCAGCTTTGGCCTAAAAATTATTAGAAGATGACTGCTTAGTGGACATTTGTCCTATTTCTGGTTGCTTGGTCTCCAAAATGGTTTTATAAGTTTGGGGAACAGGACATTGTGTGAGGCAGAGCCCCTGCATCTCCTTCAAGGAAGCCAAAAGGCTTGGGTAGCAGTTTTTCCTGACCACCAACTGCTTGGAACCCAGGCATGACTGGTCAGCCAACCCCTCCTGGATTGTGATTCTGAGATAAGAGTCAAGAGAAGCAGTTCAATTTAAAATTTATTCTGGTAGTGGTGACATTCAGTACCTCGTGGTGGTGATGGCAGCTAGATCAGCGATGGCACTCAGTCCCCAGGGCATTGCCAGTTTCCGCAGCAGCATCTTTCCTGTGGCATGGTTTCCTCTGTGGGTCTGGCCACCCACTCTCCCTTGGTACCTGTCTGTATTCCTAGCCTGGTTCTCCAGCTAGGTTTTCCTTTCTTTTGATTCTTTGAGCTCCTCACCACTCTTTTAATAAATTCCTTTTCTGCTTTAGTTAACCAGAATCAATTTTTGTTGGTTGCAACCAAAAGATTCTGGCTAGTACATAGCCTTTAGGTAATATTCAACCCAAAAGAGTCTGCTGCAGCTGCTTTTAGTATAGACTAACTTCCGGATAAAATCATGGTCAAATTTGCAGTTGTTCTGTGAGTTCTGTCTGGGCTTCCTTTAAACCCATGCACCTCAGGCAGAATGTCTGCTGCCCCACCCTAAACCACCTCTGTCTCTGTCTCCCACAACTTCTTAATTCACACTCACTCATCCACGCAGTCAATAAACACTTATTCAGCACCTACTATATACAAGGCAATATTCCAGGTACTTAGAAGACTCCAAGATCAATAACCTATAGCCCTGACAGTATACTTTTGAATTTTGAACCAGGTAAATATATTTTCTTTTCAAAAGTTAATGTAAAAATCAATCACTCTATTAAGGGTAGAAGTAACAGGGAACATTTTTTATCTTTGAGTTACTGTCACTAAGGGCGAAGTGATGTTCATTTCTTTGTAAATGTTCTAGAAATCAATCCCAAAAGACAGTTGGATTCCTTTGTTAGAGGTTTCCAGTAGAAAAGAAACAAGTAGCTCTCTAGAGCACTGAAGAAAAAAATGCCCCTTCTGAAGTTGACAACTAGATTGTTGCTCATCAAAATATTTGTGACTAGGATGAGAGATGGGGAATTAGTGCCAGTGTGTTAGAAATTTAACTCAAGATAGCTCAGAGTCCTAAAATAGAATCAAAGAAACATTAGTTTCAGGTAGAAATACTATCCAGCTTGTCTCCAGGGGAGTTAGGACCCTGCTCCTCTGGGACCCCTATAATACAGCAATTGCCTGGGGCGGGTTGACACTTGCATCTGATATAAAGTGATGTAAAGAAAAACACGTAAAGCAGATGATTCCATACACCCAGGAAAAGTCCACTGTCTGTCTCTGTCTCTGTCTCTGTCTCTGTCTCTGTCTCTGTCTCTCTCTCTCTCTCTCTCTCACACACACACACACACACACACACACACACACACACACACACACACCACATTTACTTTAAAGGAGCTTAAACAGGCGCTGAGCACTCACGAGATACTCACCTACAGACACAAATGTGATCTTGAAGTCAGACTTGGTTTGGGGGTCAGGTCTTTACTTCCTAAGTGACTTTGGACAAGTCACTCAGCTGCTCTAGGACTCAATTTCCCTTCAGAATCGGAAGAAATCGCCTAAGCCAGTCTTTAACTTTTACATGACTTTTCTCTGAAGCATCCTCAGTAAGCCTTTCTGCTTGAATGCTGACTTTTAGTGACAGGATGCTCACTCACTCCAGATGACTGATGTCATTTTACAATGCTCTGATTATTAGAGAAGTCCTTCGTTACATTTTTGCAGTGTGTCTTCCTATAGCTTTCCCCATGCTAATGACCCCTAAAGTCATACAGGTTAAGTCTAATCTATGGACAGCTCTTTAAGAAAGCTCTCCACTTCCTTTGCTTTTCTTCTCTGCAGGGTAAACCCACCCTCTCTTCTTCCATTGTTCTCATCCATCAAATTCAAGATACCACGCCATTCTGGTCTTCATGATTTTATGGATGTAGAGTAGTAGTTAAGCACCCTGAGGCCTCAGACAGTTTGAATTTAAATACTGGTCACTAAGTTGTGTGACATTGGGCAAGTTACTTTCTCTAGCCTCAGTTTTTCTCCCTAAAATGAGGATAGTAATAACAGTAGCAGCAGTAGCACACTCCTCTCTTAGAGACGTAGTGCATGAGATAAATGAGAAAATACAAGTAAAATGTCTAGTGTGGTACCTGGCACTTAGTAAGCAATATTACTACCATTATCACTAATAATAAATAATAAGTTCTAATAATGAGAATAAGAATAAATGTTAGAACTGGGAGGATTAAGACAAATCAGTCGAATCCATTTATGATTCTAGAAAGGTTTGGTTGCCCTGATACGAAACTTTCCATACTTTTCCATGCTTTTTCCATAGCAATTATCACTTTAAATTGTGTATTCAGTGTCTGACCCACCCCCAAGACAGCGAGGACCTTGCCTGCTGTGTTGACTGCTGCATGCTTAGTGCCTAGAACAGTGTCCCACTCACAGTGAGAGAATAGACCAACACCTTCACATCATAGAAAAGAAAACTGGGGTGTAGAGAGACCGTCAGAATTGTCTAAGATTGGGCAGAGGGCTCCCACGAGAGAACAAGAACCCAGAGGTCCTGGGCAGAGGACACGCAGAATTAAATCAAGCTCCAGCCCTAAAGTTTGGTGATTTGGGGGGGGAACACAAATATCCAGTGATTCGGGCGTCAGCGTTCCCACCGGGAGGCCTAAGTGCTGACCCGTGTTCGGGCTGACGAGCCGGAACCAGAAGGCTGCTTAATGCTTAATGAGAAACCGCGAGTGGGTGTGTCCCCGGGTGCGGCGCTAACACTCACTTGCAGTAGTTTGCGCTGGCTGCAGGTCAGTGCAGGGCTGTTGCTGTTGCTACTGGGCCACCCCAGCTCCAGCTGACTCCCAGGAGCTGCAAGTGGGAAACAACCTGGCTCCAGACAGCTAACAAAGGCTGGAAACCGGGCCGCCCCTTCCTGGCGCTCGCACGCGGCGTGAGCAGAGCCGCGCCCGCTCGCGCTCTCCGTGGGAACAGCCGCGCAAAGGCCAGCGTGGCGCAGGTCCCGGGAGCCCCGCACCCCGTCTGCCTCGACTGCGCAGTCACCTCCGCGGTCGAGCTCCGCGTGAATACCCGCACCTTGCACACACGGTGAGTCAGTCGGCCAGAGGGGGCCGGGGAGAGGTGCGGGAAAACAGCGGCTGTCAGATCCCAAGCGGGAGGTGGAGGAGCGGGGGGAGCGATGACGCCTGGTCCCGGGTTGCTCTGTAGCCTTAGAGAATGCAATCAACCTGATCCATGTGATCCAACCGAGGTGTGTTAAAGGTGACAAACTGAGGCCCGGAGAGGTAAGCTGATCTAGTAAAAACTATTCCTTCTGTCTGTTTGTTTATCCCTGCCTGTGTCAGTGTAGGATTTGGGGAGACTTTTAGTAAGAACCCATATGTTAAGACAATGGATAATACAAACAATGCTAAAGAATCCTTGCCAATGAAAGTATAATTATAAATAGACAGTCAAGGCCAGGGGAAAAGAGATCTGATATCTGCGGTCAGTAAGGTGAGCTGCCTTGGCCGAAGCCCTCAGCAGAGCAGTGCCAAAGCTGGGACCGGAAGGCGGAGTTCGGCCCCCCTTACAGTGCTCCCTGCCCGGTGAGCGCCTCGACCTTAGAGGGGAATGCGGAAGCTGACAGCCTGCCCGGGTGCGGGTTCTTAATCTTCTTGGGATCACTGACCCCTTAGAAATCAGGGTCCCCTCCTCACAGAGTATACTCATAATCTTGTACACAGTTTCAG